TCCAATTTTGTATAACATGTTTTTTTTGGATCAATTATATATTTGTTTATTTTGTACTTTTTTTTTTGTGTAGATGACTATTTTAGAAGAAACAAAAGTGATTGTTTGAGAATTATAAATAAAAACAATGAGAATTGTATGTTTGGAGGATATTATGTGCAATTTTAAAAAATTAAAAATTTAATTACTTAATTTTCATGTTAGTATATAGCGTATGTTGACTTTTTGCATAATAGTTTAGCATAGAATAAATATGTGAAGTAAATAAATAATTAATATTATACTTAAATAATTATTATATTTTAGTAGAAAAATAATTGAAGTTAGGTATGTGGTGAATTTGAATAAAGAATATAATAAATATGAAAGAAATACTTTTATTTTTTTTTATATTATATCAACCACTGAGTCATTGAAAAATGGGTCACTAATTCAATTATTTTAAAATTTGGTCACTAAAATGGTTACTTTAGAATCAATTATTATAACAGTCACTAAATCGTTTATTACAAAATAAGTTACTAAATTAGTCGTTATACAATAGGTTATTAAATTAGTTGTTATCAAAATTTGTATCTAAATTAGTTACTATAATATTGGTAATTAAAACAGTCAGTATAAAATTAGTCAATGAAATGGTCATTAAAAATTGGTTAATAAGTTGGTCATTATAAAATTAGTCACAAAATCGATCATAAAAAAATTGGTCATTAAATTAGTTTTTAAATCAGACTCTATATTGGTAACTAAAATTAGCAACCAGCGGTTTAACTACTTTCTACAATTGGTATCTAATTCAGTTACTTATTAGTTTAGTAATTGGTTTTGTTAATTTGGAGACTGGAAATTTAGTCTCTAAAGACAAGTTTTCTTGTAATGTTACCTTGGGGTAGCATGAAACCTAGGTAAAAGAAGACAGGGTTTTGTGCCTCCCTCAACCTAAACCAACAAGTTTCAAGCCTCCTAATGACTTGAATTCAACACCACAACTGCAATGAGAATCAGAGGAGGAAGTAGAAAAGAATTAGAGTAGCAAGAACTCACGGGATTAAAATCCTTCTCTCTAATTTTGAAAACTTGAGTTTATGAGAGTCTATTATGAATAAAAAGCTTATAAATTTATCTCTCCAAATCAATCTAGACTTTTGTTTAGAGAAAATCTTAAAATCATTTAGACTCATGAGAAATCTTTAGATTTCAGAATCACTCAACACAAAACACCACATCAATATATAAATTATTAATAACATCAACTCTAAAACTTATAGTGTTAGAAGTTTTCTATGTCTAAAACATTTATCCAAACACATTTAATCATATTTCTAAATTATAATTTTAAAATTTGACTATTTTTTGTCTTAAATGCAAGTCCATTACATTTTTATCTGTATAAATTAATCGTGAACATTAATTTAATAATTTTTTATCTTACACTTTGGTATTTAGCAGGTAAATAGATTAAAGAAGCTTGAATTGAATAGATGAAAATTGAGTGTATTAAGTCAATTGTATAATTAATCAAAGAAAAATTGAATTAATTAATCATTGACAAAAAATCTGAATACGTTTAATGCTCTACGATGGGTAATTAATTTCCCGGCAGAGACATGAAAGAAGACATTGATGATACGTAGGAAATGACTGAAATAGCCCTTGAAGCATTGACCTGGTTCCAATGGTATATAGATATAATAACATGATACAGGCTCGTATATTGCACATTTCACACGCTCTAGTCTAAGGTGGGACGCTACCATATGATCTTTTATTCCACTTTTCTCTTCCGGATTGCCCGTAAAATTTGCGGCTTACCAAACTCGTGTTGTTTCCTAGTAGCTCCTACCAATACCAATACCATATAAGAGAAATTCATACCAACTCAAACTCAAGAACTGTGCTTTTGTTGCCATTTTCAAAATACCTTTCTATCACTCTTTAGCGTTGACCACTCAAGTTGATAAGTTATGTCTCCATTCTTGGCATTAACTTTGATTGAACTGGTCTCATTCTAGATTATTACTTTTGGTTACCCTGTTTTTTGAATATTTCAAAAGTAATTAAGGACGGTGCTACTGCTACTTAACTTATGTTACATGTAATTCAGACTCTCTTTTACTACTAACATTTTCTACATTAGTTAATCTTATTTGAGATACATGCATGGGATAAAAAAACATTTATATCTCTTTTTGAAAATTCAAACGGTGCATTCAATTTGATACTAAATTTTAGATTCGATGAAAATAAATCAATAAAATTTGGTATCAGTAATGAAAGGAGACTTTTTTATCACGATTTTAAACGTTTTTTCATGTTAAGCCTTTCAATGTGATGCTTATATATGTCATCTATAACGTCATATATAGTAAAAAGTGACTTATGGAAAAATTTGTTTAATATATTTGAGAGGAGAACACTATAAAATATAAACTATTAGATTGTGTTTCAATTTTTAAGATTAAAAAGACATACACGACACTTACAAGTAATTATGTGATCACTAACTAGCTTAAAAACTCGACCATTTATGTATCATTGTATACATATATTTATAATTCTCAATTTTATAACAAGACGAGTTTTCACTTAAAATTTCCCGTATAATTTGAAGGGAAGAAACCTATTTTAATCTATTTGTCTAAATGTAATTAATTTGTCACATAAAATTTACTTACTATACTATTTATTCACTTGCTAATATATAATTGTTAGTGAAAATATTACATCAAATCTAGTTAATATTATCTTGGGGTCAACATAAAACAATTAATTAAGATTAAGAAAAACAATTAATATATTAACTTGTAATTAATTCTATCCTAATAAGTTTTATTTTTAAGTGGTTGTTATATCTAAGGTTAGTTATAAGTAGATGCATAGGAAATAAAATTAATAATAAATAAAGATTATAAAATAAATTTAACCCTTAGTAATTTTAAAAAATAATACTTGTTGTTTATAATTAAAAAATATATATTTTGTTACTTATAATTAGAATAAGAAATAACATTACACTATTTATTTAATTAATTTGACCTTTGTCAATATATAGTATTGTTTTAAGAGACAAGTATTTTTTAAAATTATATAAACTAAAATAATCATTTTTAAATTTAGAACAATAGAATAAATTTATTCCAAATTTAAGGGAGAAAAAAATTGGAGCGCGTAACAAAGCAAGTTGTAGACTAAAAACTGTATTTACTCAACGTTGAGGCTGCGATGCATGTATTAGAACTTAATTTAGAACAAGATATCATCGTGTCCAAAGATCAATAATGATGATGCATAAAAATAAGTAATTATAAAAGATACTTATGAAAGAAACATCTGATTTTGATTAAATTAAATCTCAGATTCCATTGTCTATTAAAAAATGTAAAGATAGATATGTGTTTTCAACAATTAAAAAGAAAACGTGCATGAGAAACGAAAAATAAATAACATGAAATCGTCTTTACACGAGAATAATATATGGCATTGCGACTTGCACAGTTCACGGCAATAATTAGTGTAGACTTTTTTTTTTTTTAATCTATTAGAATTATAATTAAGAAATTAAATAATTAGTGCAGTTGTGTCAAATTATCATATCAAAACTATATCGAATTAAATTGAAATAATTTTAGAGATGTAATTCGAATCAAATTGATTTTAAGCAAACAAAAAACGAATCAGGATCCTTAATATTAAAAACATATGTTTCCTTAAAGAAGAAAGATCAAGCATTTAAAGATGAAACTTCACATTTTTATCTCAAATAAACATAAAATTAATGTTTTCATAAAGTAAAGAACAAATGATATAATAGTTTGTTTTAAGACAATAGTTTTAAACTAGTTGTTCTTCTATTCTGGTTCTAATTTGATTATTTAGTTCACCTATCGATTGAATTATATGAGATGAGAAATATTTATAATACATTCTTTTTTACTAATTTTGATATGTCCTACCTCTAGATTAGTAAAGTATGGGAAATAAAATATGAGAGAGTATTAGTAATATTTCTAGTCGTGTTGAAAATTTTACAGCAATTTTTACATCATACTTACTTTCAATGTAAAAAAAAAATCCAAACACAAATTATTTTGCTTAAAATCAATTTAATTTAAAATGAATATAATCTAATAAGAGAATCAATGTATATGCCAAATTGATCTTTAGTTATAACTAACATTACATAAAACAAAAAAAAAACATATTTAAAACTAAATTTAAGTGGGGTCTCGTGGAGTTAATTGGGTGTCCCCAATCCAGAAGCAGCTCTAGCAATCAAAGTGTCTTGTGTGATTTGTTTTATTTATATTTATTTATGAGAAATAGCATTGTAAAGTAAAAGTATGTTATTTAATGTGTTAGTGTGAGATACACAAAGTTCACGCGAGAGTGACGGGAGCAGCGTGGAGGCCAACATCACACAACCTTGTCACAAACGCTTCAGGAAGATACAACCGTAACGACGCGGAACAAGGTTTGAAGATTCCTAGTCTTCTTCATTTCCACTTTTACCCTTCCCATTACTCTCACTTCCTTTCATTTTTTTTCTTGCCACCCTTTTTTACTTCTGTCGGATATTCATCATTTGTGTTGTGATTGTGAGTAATCATACCATATTTGTAAATGCCCAAGAGGGTCAACGTCAAGGATTTCCTACAAACGTACGTGTCAAACATATTCATGCTCACAAGTTTAATTTCTGATTTCTCTACATATAAAACATTACGATATATTAGACTTTAGCTTTTTTGTTAAGAAATATCATGATTGAGGTAAAAAAAAAAAAAAGTTTCTAAGCGGAGAATTGGTCAGCAATTGGACCTCCCATCCTCACCCTTTGAACTGGCGATTCCTATGACCAAAGACTAGTCTGAGTAATGAAAATCCACACCACCACTTTTCTCAGTCAAACTTTCGTTTCCTTTCTATTTTCTTTGCTTTCCCACACTTTCTTCATTCGAATCTCACGCCCCTTAAATCCCATGCTCATAACTCATCTCATTCGTAACCCCTTCTTGTGCAAAGCAAAGCCTATTTCCAATTTGTCTTGTACTTGTTCTTCCAAACCTTTTGCTTCTTCTGCCACCACTAAACCCGGGCAATCCCATGTTTAATTTAGTTTAGGCATATTTGGGCTTTGTCTTGGTTCATGACATAACTTTTGATCACAATCACATGGCACGCCAATCACGGGGTTGAACATTTACATAACAGGAGTCACCTAGGTAACAAGGCTTTATTGGTTTCGTGGTTACATGGGAGAACCAAATAGCATCATACATGAGCTACTACAAGGTTTGGAGCTGGCAAGGCAGCTCCAAGTGTATCTCCACATGCCTTCTTCCTCCCAAGAAACCCGTGACCTCTTGATCCAGCAGATCATATCCACTTTTGAAAAGGCACTTCAAATGGCAAATTGGAAAGGACCAGTGCCCGCCGCTGCTGCTGCTGCTGCTGAGTCCTCACAACATCCCCCAGGGATTCCAATACGAATGTCAGACTCACCTTTGAGCACGAGTCCCCGCAGTGAAGACTCTGATAGAGATTTCAAGGACCAGGACCAGAATGCTTTCAAAAAGAGGTATGCATAATAACTCAGCTTTTAAATTTTCATCACCACCTTTACAAGAAACTCTCAACACCACAAAGATACAATACCACAGAATTGAACTTTTCTCTTAATAATATATAAAATAATATACATGTAAGTTTTGTCATGTAAACAAATGCAACTCATGCAATCTGACCACAACAAATGCAACTGATGCCGTGTGCCCACAATGTGTTACGACGTTGAGACCTCAAAAATCTTGACATCATAGCCAAAATAATGTATAAGAACCGTTTTTTGAAACCTTTAGAATAATATAACAATTTATAGCTACATATATGGCGTTTACCCATACACAATGAACGACTTTCATTGCAGAAACAGTTTGCCAAGATGGACAAAACAGATTCGAGTTACACCAGGAATGGGGGTGGAGGGGCCTCTTGATGATGGATATAGTTGGAGAAAATATGGCCAGAAAGACATCCTAGGTGCCAGGTACCCGAGGTAACACCAAATTCGATCCTCATAAAATGCTAATTTTGTAGACAACTATTATGTCTATATTCTAGATCCATTGGATTGAAATTGAACTAAATATTTTGTGATCATGCAGGGGCTATTACAGATGTACCCACAGAAACGTTCAAGGCTGCGTGGCCACAAAGCATGTGCAAAGATCCGATGAAGACCCCACTATTTTTGAGATCACCTACCGAGGGAGGCACACATGCACAATGGCCAACAACGTTGGTGCTTCATCAGTTCCACTAGAAAACCAAGAACCAAGTTTGAACAACACAAACCCTCAGCAGCAGCAGAATATCCTGCAGAGCCTTGAGCAGCATCCAAACGAACTACTTATGAGCCTTCGGAGAGGGTTGAAAGTCCAAACAGAGAACCTTGATTCCCCAGACCAATCATTCCGTTTCCCTTCCTCAACAGACATCAAAATTGAAAGCCAGGTTTTCCCATCCCCTGTGATTGAAAACACCTATGCTGAAAAATTCAGTTCCCCTTCCTACATGTCCCCTGCTACATCGGGAATAAGCCAATTTTCGGTTTCTCCAAGTGGGGTTAACAGCTTTGGAGGGAACCCAAATTTGGCAAGTTCGGGGTCTCAGATCAATGACATGATCCCTGCCACTACTTCAGCTCCAAACTCATCAACCGTTGGTTTAGACTTCCCTTTTGACCAGTTTGAATTTGATGGTCAGAACTTCACATTCGATAACCCACGATTTTTCTCTTGAGAATAATATAGTATACTCAATTCAGAGAAGAATCAGAATAAAAGACAAAAACTAATTTTTATTTTTAAAATGTTAGAATTAGAAGCATATGATGTAAGTCGAAAGACATAAGCAGGTGTGTAACATTCTAGAATTATATGACCCTGTAGAAAAAGAGGCAAAAACATTTCTATGTGTGTCTTAGATACTTGTGTCGTAGGAATATGTAATTCTAATTTTGCCTAGTCAATAAGAATTTTCCTTTATCATTAGAGACAGGTCATGTTATCACGTAGGTTTTGTTTTGTTTGGTGTTTTTGCCTCTTTTTCTATTTTTAGGAGTTTGATATCAGCGTTTCTTCAAGTGGATGATGAAAATGGTCGTTTTCTCGAGTCAGAGGAAAGGGGAAAAAGAATATTATAACCCATTGTATTTGTTTCCAATTCTCTATCAATCAAATAAACAATCCGGTTTACCGAAGATCAAAGCGGGTTAAGGTATTTGATGTTTGACCGTGGAAATGTTTACGCGGAGAAAAACAAAACACGAGCAAGATTCATGATGTTTTGTTGAACCCAATCGCGATTTAAGTGCGACCATAATGCTTTACACATTGAAGTCATTTGACCTGCATTAAAAATAAAAGAGCTGAAACTATGGCCACAAATAAATAAGTGGATCTGTATCCACCATTATTCTCCAGTAAAATTTGAAAATACTTTTCTACCAACCAACTTTGATCATATTCTGTTGACATTAACATTTTTAATGATTTTTCAAATCCGGTTTTTAACGTTAGTATTTCCTTAACAAAATAAAATTAAGGGTGAAGATTTTTGGGATAAATATAATTTTTTTAATCTCTATTTTTTTTTAACTTCTATTCAATGTATGCTTTTAAGTTTATTTTGAAAATTTCCGAGATACAATTTATAAGTAAAATTACTTTAAACAATCATCCCTTAATTTTAGATTAACTGAGTCCTGAAAGCTCATTAAACTTGAAGACAAACTTCACGACTCAGAACATTTTAAAAAAATTATAACTCAAAGATTACTTGCAAAAGCATTTATAATTTATCTACCAACAATTTTCTCATATTAGCGATGAGATTCACACTCACTTTTGCTTTCACTTTTAGGGGCTGTATTGGTTTAGGATTTCGTAGGATTTTAAAAGACTTTTTAATTAGAAATAAAAATCTCAATTAAATATAAGAAAAATCATATTGTTTTAGTTATATATAGGTTCATAGAGTGTCAATAATAAAATAATGTAATTAGAAATAAAATCTCAATTAAATAAATTATATTTTAGAGATGATACCATTAAAGAGTAAAGTTAGTAAAGTTAATTAGGATATCTTTATATTTATTCATAAGATTTTTTTCTTATATTTATATAGAGTTATTCATAATATATCAAATTAATTAATCTATACAAATTATATTATAATATTAACCATTTAGTTTTCCTAAATTCACGTTAATACCATTATTTAATTTAAGCTCTTAATTTGAGATCGCAATCTTTTCATTTCACTTCAATTCATCTTCTCTTATCTTTATCCTCTCATTGAATTAAATGGACCCATCCGCTTGAATCTAGCAAGGAATGCCCACAGGCACAGCAGGAAAAAGACGAAGATGACTGTCCCAAAATTGTCAATTTAGGAAGGGAGTGCCAGAAGTCCTTCGGTGGGACATAAAAAGCAGTATAAACGTACACTTTAACTTCTTGGTTTCTCTCATCGAAAACAAAACAAAAACATAACATTGTTCAGGTGATGTAACGAGTAGGGAGTTGGCCTTTTCTGAGTGAGAGAGACAGTACTCTCGGAAATTGTTAGTGCTTGTGCAAATTAAGATCATTCTACAACACACATGCAGAACCCTGCAACACCCAAAAAAAAATACTACTATCAAGTTCATTTGTGTCTTTTAGTTAAATAAATAAATGATAAAATATGTTATTGTCCTTCTAAAAACATATTTTAACCATAAACAAACTAGAAAGAAGGGCGTGGATGGTGGGGGGAAGGTGAATCAGAAAGAACATAGCGATGAATAATTGGATCATATCAGGATCTATACTCGAAACATTTGTGAATTATCTTTCCCCTTTCAATTTCATAAAAAAAATAAAAAAAAATAAGACAACATATAAATTTTACCATGGTCAATCAATCAACAACCACACGACAACTTCATTCATAAAATAAAAAAAAATTATATATGAAAAACACCGGTAATATTCAATATTCAAGAATCAAGAGTAGGGTTACGCAATATGCACATCCAGCATCAAATTTACACTTGCTGTAATTACCAACACAAACGTATACTTATTTTATTCCTGTACACATGATAATATCTTAATTTAACAGCACTCTACCTAAACTTCAACTAGAACAATCCAGATTTTACACCTATGCACACTGTTTCCCTAATGATGTTTATTAGCTCAAGTTTCAAACATGTATGTATATGGTACTGCTTAGTGAAAAACAGTAAAGCTAACATCATTCAGTGCTTCTAACAAATTAGTCAGCCAAAGCAACAAAACTTGCTTCTTTTAGCTTTAACTAATGTTGCAATCTCTGGAATTTCCAGGAGAATCCTCTTCAGAAGAGGCATCACCATCTAAGAATCCTAAAAGGTAGCCCTCTGCATCTTCTTCATCACTCACAATATCTGCCCTATTATGTCTTCTTTCAATATATGCCAATGTCTGCCGCCTCTGCAGGCGAAGAACATGCATTATAACATCAGGAGTAAGAGTCACACGTGATCGATCTTCTCTGCCCTGTCTGTTTGCCTCCATTATCAAATCATATTGTTTTAGAATCCTAATCCAATACACACCCCTTAATGATATATATACCAACCTAACACATTTTTAAATCATTATACAAATACAAATTTGTTCGGCTGTGCAATATTCTTTCTTGAACTCTTTAGTATTCAAGTTGTATAATTATAAATAAATTCAAATTTGTTCGGATGCAATTTATAATATTCAAGTTGAATAAACTGTTAATAGATTTCGATTGAACTTTTATTGTTTTCGATATATTTTTAGTTCTTTTAAATTTGTAGTAAGTTTTTTTTCCCTCCAAATGTAAAAAATATTTGTTTTAGTTCATATAGTTTTAAAAGGTACTTGTTTTAATCCTTCGGTAAAATCATTGTCAAAAGTAGATAATGTATTATTACTTGTGTGGTAATAATGTATTTATTTTTATTAACAAAAAAACTTATAAATGGATTTCGTGGCAAAATTCGTGGATAATGTTCCGACAAAAAGACTAAAACAGGCTATTTTTAAAATCATGTGATTGAAAAATATTTTAAAATTTACAAAATAAAAATTATTCTGAGAGGCTAAAAATATATTTAAACTAAAAAAAATTGTAGATTTATTATAGTCAACAAAATGTTTCGTAAATTTTAGTCCACAAAAGTTGCTTTCGACAGGGCTGATCACAATAATTGGATGTTTGAAGCCCAAAATTGTTAGAAGCATAGTTTTAAAAGCCGGACCGGTCATCGAACCGGTTAAGGTATTGGGTCAGTGGGTTAAAGGTTGAACCGGTGGGTCACTGGTTGAACTGCATGACTCGATTTTTATTAAAAAATATTTATATTAAATATATTTATACTTATAAATTTTAATAAATTCATATCTTATTTAAAATTTAAAATTTTCTATCTTATTTAAAATTATTTTTATTTTTATTTTGTAAAAAAATACATAAAAAAATTACATGTTAAACGGTATATTAATACAAATTAAAAATATAAATAATATGTACATATATAATATGCTTGCAATTAATATCACAAAATAATATATGTAATATTTACATAGATATTGCATTATTAAATATATAATTTAAAATTAATAATATACTATAAAAGTTATTTAAGTTGTATATATTGCAAACAAATATATTAGAACAAGTAGTCATTGTTATATTTAATAAGACTCCTTGTTTTTTCATTAAGAGATTCAATTTTCATTATTATTTTTGTGATTTATGGTCCCTTAAAAATTTTTTAAAAAAAATAAGAAAAAAAAGTGGTTGAACCGGTTTGACCCACCGGTTCACCGGTTGAACCGGAAAATTGACCGGTTCAATCCGGTTTGAAACGGGTCGACTGCATAACCGATCCAACTTCAGATTCGGACCGGCTGGACCACCGGTTCCCGGTCCGACCGGCCGGGTCGGTCCGAGTTTTAAAACACTGGTTAGAAGGGTTGATTTGGCTTAAATTTAACAAAGTGTCACGTCATGCAATTATTTCGGATCGGGCTCTTTTAAACATAGTTTTAAAAACCGGACCGGTCATCGAACCGGTTAAGGTACTGGGTCAGTGGGTCAAAAGTTGAACCGGCGGGTCACTAGTTGAACCGCATGACTCGATTTTTATTTATTTTTATTAAAAAGTATTCATATTAAATATATTTTATACTTATAAATTTTAATAATTCATATCTTATTTTAAATTCCAATTTTTCTATCTTATTTAAAATTATTTTTATTTTTATTTTGTAAAAAAATACATAAAAAAATTATGTTAAACGGTATATTAATACAAATTAAAAATATAAATAATATGTACATATATAATATGCTTGCAATTAATATCAGAAAATAATATATGTAATATTTACATAGATATTGCATTATTAAATATATAATTTAAAATTAATAATATACTATAAAAGTTATTTAAGTTGTATATATTGCAAACAAAATATATTAGAACAAGTAGTCATTGTTATATTTAATAAGACTCCTTGCTTTTTCATTAAGAGATTCAATTTTCATTATTATTTTTGTGATTTATGGTCCCTTAAAAA